GACAATAAATTTTTTAAGTTGTACTAAAATTTTATATAAAAATAGATACTGTAGTTTATTTTTAAGTAAAATTCTAAAAAAATATATAAAATCTTATTCTAATTAACCTAACTAATTTTTAATTATAGTGAGGTTCCAGTGTGATTAGCATATTGTCAATTAATTTTATTTTTTTCAACGAATTATAATTGGAATCCTAACAAATGGATTTCAAAAAATTTAATTTCTCAAACATCACTAAAAAATTAATTTTAATCACGAAATTTTAAATATTTTTTTTTCTAGTGACAAAAAGAATTTTAGGAATATACAAAGTTTTCATAATTTTATAATAGAATATAAGTAATAAAAAATTAAGTTTGGTAAATTTGAAATGATTTTTAATTCAAATACATATATACCTAATATATTTTATTAATTTTTGTATACAAAAATTATTCACCTGCAACACATGTGGTGCATTTCTAGTATATATAATATCCTCCAAATATATAAAAGTAATTTTTATTTTTTCACAATTCAAATCTTTCTAAATTTTGATGTATATACCACGAATAAATTTGGATACAAATCAATCATGTGATGAAAATCTTTCACTTATAATTTGATATATTTTTTTGTTGTTGGTAATGTGAAAACATTTTCTTATAAATTAGTATTATTACATTGTGTTGTAAAATTTCATAGTTCTTAGGGGTAACTAATTTGATTTTGTTGTCCACTTTCTCTTGAACAGTTTGGTATTCAATGGGAAAAATGACCATGTTACCTATTTTGTTACCTTAGTATTTGGATATTATTTTTTACATTTATTATTGATGAATTGGAGTGGACTATTTGATTTTAGCATTTCACGAAAGTTGTTTTCTTTTATTTATATATACAGTTTCATCGAGTGAGTGGATAATTTTTTTGTGTTATGTAACTTTAATTTTTGGATTGATGCGAGCAGTATAAAATTTTATTTTTTTTAATACAAAGAGAATGAGACATAATGACCTAAATTTGGAGAATATTGGGTGTTTAGATAATGAGCAAATAAATCCTGTTTATTCAAATACCCCAAGGTGTAAAGTAAGATTTTTGAGATGGAAAATGAGTTTTGCAAATTTTATCGGGGACTGGAAGAGCATTTCGAAGAGACTTGTTTTATGAAGAATTGTGGTGCGAGTCAAAATCTTTAAAATAAAATTTTATATTCTTTACTACTTCGATTATACAAATTATGTATGCAGATTGATATTTTTCGAGACCCATGTTTTTAGAGTGTATTTTATCACAAAATAAAATAAAAATTGAATAGTAGGTCTATATTAATTGGAATTTTGTAGTATACATTATTTTCAAGTGCAATTACTAGTAAATGAATACAATTTAACTAAATAAATAACAAATCTATAAATGATCCAGGCATCCAAGGAGGACGGCTCAACAGTATTATCAAAAAAGTTTGGGCTTTAACCTCATTTTTAAAGAAGCGGAATTGGAAGTGAGTCTCACTAGATGTACTTGTTTGGAGATAAGTTCTGCAAAAAAACTTATAAGAGACTAAATTCATATTTAAAATTATATGTAATGACTTAAGTCTATTTTTTTTTATCTTAAAAATACTCTTTCTTGAAAGGAAGTTAATCTTTTCTCTCTCATATCTATCTATATCCATATATAAGTTAAGAGTTTGACTAACATAAAAAAAATATTTTTTTTTCTCTCTCTATATATATATATATAGAAACATTCAAATATAAAAAAAAAAGTTACTATGAATTTGAATAGTAAAATTCAAATTTATATTATTATTTTTTTTATTATGTTACTACTTTTGTTAAGTATATTACTGTTCATGTACTATTATTTTTGAGCATATTACTGTTTTTGTTGACCATGTTACTACTATTATTTTCCTATATATTAATATTCAATGTTACTATTTTTTTTTTTTGAATATTACTATTTTTTGTATTTGAATGGTACTATTTTTTCCATTTGAATTTGAGAGAAATAATTATTGTTGAGTATGTTATAGTTTTTGTTAAGCATTTTACTATATTTGTTGAACATGTTAATATTTTTGTTGAATATATTATTGTTGTTATTTTTTAAAATATTAATATTGAATGTTTCAATTTTTTTTATGTTTAAATGTTACTATTTTTTTGTGTTTAAATGTATTATTTTTTGTGTCCAAATGATAATTTTTTTTTGTATTTGAATGTGTATATATATATAGGAGAGAAGAAAAATTTTAATGTTAGTCAAACTCCTAAGATTTATGAGTTTTTAATTTTTAGTTTTATTTCACTTCTAAAGGAAGGGGATAGTTTAGTAAAATTGACAAAAAACGAAATTCATAATAAATAAGTTTATTTGACGGACTTAAGTCCAAACAAGTCTATATAGGGAGACCGTACTCCAAATTTCCCTTTAAAGAAAGTTCCAAATTTTTAGATACAATAAATAGTCTGTGTAAAAAAATTAAATTCATAAATACTTTAAACCCTACAAAAGGCCTTATAAAAATGTAAGCCCAATAAAAAAAAATTAAGTTCTCACTTCAAGGAAGACCTCATAATTTATAAGTGTGTAGTAATAGTCTGATCAAAAAAATTTAAATTCATCCTCAAACAAAAGATTAATTTGCCCATGAAATTAAAAGGCCCTAAAATTTATTTTATTTAAATAAACAAAAAAAATTACTGTAAAACTAAAGTTAATAAAAAATCTAGTTTTAACATCCAAAAAAATCAAGTTTAAACTTACTATCATATTTTTTCAATCATTCTTTCTCTCTCTTACCATTAAGTTCCAATATGGTAACAAAAACTTGAATATAAAATTTTAATTAAAAAAAATTAAAAATTAAATTTATTATTAATATTAAAAAAAAAAAAAAACTTTATTTATCGTTTCTGCATCCAGGCCATGACCTCTGGCCTAGGCCCTGGCAGCATTCCTTGTTAATTAGGTATTCAACTGTTGTAGTTGCCAAAAGAAAAATCCAAGGTCTGGATTTCGAATATGTTGCCAATCAAGTTTGCAGAATGAGAATCTTAGTGGATGATCTAATGACCGTTGCTTCTGTTGTTGGACTATAACATCGTAGATTCAAATATCATCTAGGTATAAAAATAAGAAAAAAAAAATCTCTAAATAATTGACCCGAGTCACTTAACAACTTTTGTTTATTGAATATGACGATCGCCTCCTTAATTATGTATATAATAAAATATGAAACTCTTGGATATATTCCCTCACAAACTCAAATAACGGTGCAAATCGTTTATATCCAACAACTTATTTTATAATTTATATTTTAATCTTTTAATCACAAAAAATGTAATTATTTATATTTAATCTTTTAACACAAACTTACATTTTAACTACGAAAAAAAAAAAAACCTTGCTTTGCACGGGGTATCCTAGTGAACCGATATTGCATAGCACTTACCATTAGTGGGTCATTTAGAAATTGATGTCAAAATCGACCCAAATAATAATGGTTTGCTGACGTTTACTAGGCTCAAAAGTCTATAAAACTGATGAGCAGAACAAAGTGGAGTGTAGTAGAGTAGAGAGCCAATGTAATGGAGTGGAGTCACGTGCTGCTTGGGTTTGTATAGTTTATAGAATAAATCTAGAAGTATTGTCAAAATTATTTTCATTTTTGCAATTTGAATAGACCAAACGAACCAAAATCGAATTGAGTCGAACATCCAAAATTATAACTAGTAACATAATATAAATGAGGTATTTAACAAAACTTTTTGGGAACCACAGCCCAGCCCAGCCCAGCCCAGCCCACCCTCCCTTAGATCCATCATTGCTTGTATGCAAGAAGAAACGTCTTGGGCAACAAACAAGAAGAATATGTGATAAATCAAGACTTTAACATATATATATATTTCATCAAATCAACATAACAAAAAATTTAGGATCGATCCTTATCGAGCTATGATCAGCTCACATGAGTCCCTATGAATGGAACTGGGAGGACGACTTAATAGGTAGGGCAAGAGTTTTTTTTTTCATATCACTCTTCCCAAAATTCTTTTCGGCTCCAGCATAAGAGGGTCGAGTCTCGAAATTTCTCGGATTTTTGACTTTGCTGTCAATAACAGAATTGGACAACAAGAAGTAATAAAATGGGTAAATTACCCTTTTATTACTAAACTATGGTTCGATTTCACTTTGTTCCTCAAACTATTGAATTTTTTACATTGTCCCCTCAAGTATTTTCATTATTTTATATTGTCCAAATTGAGAACATTTGTTATCTTTTTGGACGGAAATTGCTAACGTATTGGAGTAAAGTGAAAAAAACTACATATTAATGTCTATAAAATCTTGTATAACTGAGCAACTACAAAGATTTCTTCAATCATGGCTGCTTCCCAATTCATGCTTTCGTTATGATAAAATAGATATAATAAGATTCACTTTGTCTATAAACTCACTATGCTTGAGGTAAATTTATTGGGAGTGCCGGTCTTTAGAGTTGTAAATGGGTCGTATCATTTATGTCTTATTTTCAAATCGTGTAAGTTGTATCAAAAGTTGTTCAATTTATTCTCAATATATTTATGATCACTATACTCAGGTTGGTGTGGTGTTTTAAGTCATGGATTTGAAACAAATTGGCATTTGACATCAATATCATTAGAATAGAGTTGTGCAACTGCCAGACTATGACCGTCCAACAAGTTGTTTATTACAATTAAGACTGGAAACTAGAATTCAAGACCCAGTTCCTTAGATCTAGACATAATAAAACCATAAAAATGAAAAATAAAATAAAATAAAACAAATCAACCATATACGGTCCCAAACCAAACCTAAGAGAAATGTTATTCGGGACATAATTTGAGAATTTAATGATCGTAATCGTCGGATTATCGGTAAGTTTAATAATTGAATACACTTCACTATGAATTCAATTATCACAATTTATTATGTCTTTAAATTATATCGGTAAATTATATCCCGATAGCTGAGTGCAAATCTTAAGAGTCCCAAATGGGACCAAAGGCAGGAATTCCAGCAGCCTTACATGCATTGACCACATCCCTACTCCCTTGTGGATTACTAGTAACAATGGCTACTTCAGCTCTCCACCTCCTTGCAGCATCGACGGCCATTTTTGACACGTCAGGCCGACCAAGCACCGCGGTGTCGTGGACAATGACCTTCTCCTTAGGATGTCCACTCATCATCTCTTTAATTTCCTTCCCAAAGTTTTGTTCGATCCCTTTTGCCACCCAAACCAAACAAACATCAGCTGAGCATGGTTGCAAGAGAAATGACAGAAAAACACATATACCTGATCCTGTTGCCACCAACACAACCCTGTCATACATGTTCACTAGATAAGGCAGGCCGGAAAAGTGAACCCGCCGGACCCATAAATTCTCCGGCGGGTTCAACACCAATGACATTGTAAAATCACCTACTGCTCCGGCCAAAATCATATGTTCTCTTTTCCCATCAGAAATGATTCCAAAGGCATGCCATTCTGAGAATGGTGAAGGACTAATTCTACCAAGTATTCCAGCTTTAACACCTCCCTCAAACTTGATAATTGAGGCATGGCCAGAAGGGGAAGAGACTTTAACAGGAACACGTCTAACTGTGATCCATGGAATAATTATCAGAACTGTAATGGCTACTGTGAGCCAGAACTCTTGATGATTAATCAACTTAGACCCAATTTGATTGGTGCAGGATTTGGTTTTCGGGTCGTAACAGATTGTGAAGATGACAAAGACCCAGAGAAGAATGAGAGCTGACCATCCGGCGAACCGGTGAGTCCTTTCGAATACATTGTGATGGAGATGGCGAACAAGAGGGAATGCTGCCAAAGAAGAGAGGACGAGAAGAGAGAGAATGGTGGAGGCAACAACAATGATCTCAGGTGAAGTGTCTTCTCTATCTTTCAGAGTGAGGACTATAGCATATGTTAGCCATGCGATTGAAGAAACACCACAACCACTATGTATCCCACCAAGGGATTGTAGGAGAGAGGTGGTGGTGGTTTTAAGCCGAAGGGGCACCCATGACCACCCTAAGATGTTCACTGCGAGCCAGAAAACAATTCGCAAGAAGGCCTCGCTCCGACAGAGTGTCAGAGCAAGAATGTTGCCTATAGAGAAAAGTGCGGCTTTTCGCCTTGCATAAGGAAAGTGCTCAGTAGCTGCAAGAATCAACCCAGTTATGTTCAAAGTTAAACAAACGACAAAGAGTCGCTTGTAGACTGTGAATAAGCCTTGATCAAGCAATATAATCGATAGTCTCGACTCTTTTGGTTTGGTAGTCTTTGAAGCCTGTTCACGTTTGCTTAGAGATTGTGGAAGTGATATTGTCTCCAGTTCCTCATCGTTATGGACCTCATGGCCTTCTTCTATGTCCACCAAACTATCGGTATCTTCATCGTCGTCCATGTCGAGGTCAAGATCACAAAAATGGCTACTGGTCCGGCTCAAGGAACTTTGAATGCTATTTGTTGATGGGACTACTTTGGTAAGGCTCTCCCCTGGAAGCCAAAACCTTTTGCTACCTTGGGTTTGTTCTATGGGGGGTGTTTTGATTGCAAATGGCTCAAAATGAGGTTTGATCTCAAAGGAAACACCTCTACAGCTCGAAAAAGTCCCAATTATCTCTGGGTTTGTCATATTTTCTTCCGTGTGAAAAGGGAAAAGCTTAATGTAGCGAAGGAAGAGAATGAGAGAAGCTTGTGCTTCCGTACAAGATAGGGTTTGAGTATTTATAGACTTTTTTTTATATATCTCCACTCTCAATAGATGATCGCAGTACTATTTTCCTTGTACAAAAGACTACGTGTTTTTAAACGATCTGAACAGTTCAGACTCACTTTTTGTCTCGTTCAACTTAAGATAAAAGTTGATCACTGTTATGGCTCCGTTGACACTCGTACTCACCCACTTGCATGGCAGCTAGCTGATATTGTCTATGATGCAAGGAAATTCGTTTTCCCACGCATGTTATATACTACATACAAAGTCTTTATTTCAATAAAAAACAACTCTATTTTAATGACTGTATAATTGATTTGGCCTCAAGGAGATTGACTTTCTTCTGTTCTTATCAAGTAAATGATTCCTAACCAACCAATTACTGTATCAAGTAAATAAGAATTAATGGGTATTACTACATCGGTGTATTGATATATCAATTTTAATATTATATTTAATGGCCATTATGTTTGAGGGCATATAAAAGGAAATCTTAGACATATTGCGAAATACACGAGTTGAGAAATATTTTCTCTAACATTTTTAAATTCACTTGTTTTTTTTACAATTCTATGTTTATATTTTCTTAGTTTTATAACACGTTATTAGCACAAAATTCTAACTATAAAATAGATGAGTAAGATATTTGTTGACGTTCTCTTAGTCACTTAAAGATTATGAACGTGAATATTTCAAGGATGAAATCATTAGAAGTATCATACAATCACTCTTTGATATTATGTGTCAGAATTATTTATATTAGATCTTTGATTAGATTCACCTTGATGTTATGAATCTTAAAGATTTAATTTCAGAAGAAAACTAAGCATTCTTAAAAGATTACATAAATACAATCATTATCATTCACCATCATTTCTTGAAGAATAAAAGATATATGTTGTAATGAATATTACATTATTGCTTTATTTTATCGGGTCAATAGTTTATATTAAAGAAAATGCTTGCGTTTGATACTTATTTATAAAATATTACCATGAGAACGATTCAACAAAATATTTTGATAGATGTAGCATTGTCGATCACTTTTATGGCTCCATTGACCCTCATACTCCCACTTGCATGGCAGCTACCTGATCTTGTCTATGATGCAAGGAAATTCACCTTCCCACACAAGTATATATACAAGTCTTTATTTTCAATAAAAAAAAAGCACCATTTTAATTGCTATATAATTGATTTGGACTCAAGGATTGACTTTCTTCTGTTCTTATCAAGTAAATAATTAATAATGTTTTTTATATTTAATTTAGAGATTCAATGTAGTGTGATCATTGAATCGATATGAGACTTCATTCAATTCTAGGACGTATTGTTAGTACGCTCATTAAAATAAATTAGATCTCTATACTATATCTATAAATTAGGTCTCAATAACATTATGACGAAGCAAATGTCAGTTGAGTAATGTTACACTGACTAAAAATAAGGAATACAAAACATGAACTAACTAATGTGAAATTACAATAATAATATTTCTTTCTCCCACTTTTATTCATTAAAATTCATTTATTATATCGGTTGTTACATTATTCGGGGCTGAAATTTTGGTCTTATTATTATTATTATTATCTAAATAGCATTACTCATATGTCTTGTTGATATGCCAAAAGGCCAGAAGATAAAGAGTTAGCGTCTGCATTGAATGGTGATTGATACAAGTGGGAAAGGTGACCTATTGAATTGTTAAAGGTCAATCTTCTTTTATTATTTCATCCGTTCTTAAATATATGTCGTTTTACATAATTTTTTTTGTTTCATAATACATGTCGTTTTATGAAACTAAAGCATAATTAATATTTTTTTTTTTCAAATTTACCCTTAACTTTTCAATGCATTAGATTAAGTGAAGACTAAGTGTCTTTTATATTTTTTTTTTCCCAATACATATTGAATAAGGGTATTTTAGTCTTGTGTAATTATTTTTTACTCATATTACAGTTATTTAATAACTTTTTTAATTTTTATACAAAAATCTTAAACGACAGATATTTAAGAACGGAAGGAGTATTTATTTGCTTCTTTGTGTTCAATGAGGGTCCACAATTGGACTAGATAATAAATTAACTACCAACTAATTTCATCTAGAAGAGGTTGAAAGCCTATAGGTGCAGGACTATGTTGGGCTGGTAAGTAATATCTTCAATGGCAAGTGTGTTTTCTCACGTCTCAAAATTAAGTTTATTTACACCCTCAAAGAACAATTATTGCAAATTGCACCCTCCATGAAATTAATTGGTAGAAATGAGACTCCAACCATAATGTCTGTTACAATTTTTGTCAAACCGGTAATCCCGTGAGACGAGCGTGAAAAGAGGAAGGGTCATAATCCATCAAAAGTCATCACGTGCATCTCATGTGATTGTCAATTTGATGAGAATATGGACATTATGATTGGGGTTCACATTGCTACCCCCAAATTTTATTGAGGGTGCATTTTAAAATAATCGATCTTTTAAAGTGCAAATTAATAATTTTTTAATCTTTCATAGTGGAAACTGCTATTTGCCCTAAATGGTATTGTTTGTCAAAATGTTTAGAGCATAGATTTGAAACACTGCCATTGACTTCGATTTTGGTATGGACCGATACAATGGTCTGGAAATAAATTCATGATAGTTCTGTGAATAAATGTTATTGGTCCATATGTTGTATAATACTAGTTGGGAAAAAAAATTAATGGTATGGCACCTACCCAGCCTTCACCCTCGTGCTCTTTTTTCAAAAGATTTCTACCAAAGAGTCGTTCAAATTATATCTCGTATATTTTATTATTTTTTAAATCATGATCCGAATATATTTTACTATTTTTTATCTATTAAAACTGTTTTCAAAATAATATAATCAAATAGGTTTTCAAATACAAAAAAATTAAAACACATTTTTCTGAAATTTTTTTCGAAACCCTACTATTGAATACTATTTTTTTAGAGCATATCCAAACATATATACTTAGATTTTAATTGAGAATTTTTTTTAGAACAAAGGGCTTTCAGGTGAAGCCATCCTAAGCAAATTTTTTAACGGGAAATATCAAAAATCGAACTGATTTTATAATATTTATATTTTAAATAATAATTTATTTTTTTGAATCACGCAATTTAAAATTAAAATTAAGAGAGATAAATATAGATTGATGAGATTGTTTGACATTATGAAGTGTTTTAATTGAATTGTCTTACATTATGAATCATGTAGAGAAGTTAATATTTTTGGGATAAATTTTATATCATTGAATTAAAATAAATAAAAATTATATCAATCTTAACCGTTATTATATTTTTATAAGTAAGGAATTCAACTTCTTCATTTACCTATTTGTTTATGATTTCTTGCATAGAACAAGGGATTGAGACTTGGGAACTCTCCATTTTAAAAGAAACACAAATCTATTATTTTATGTTGATAACAATCTAGTGGTCAACCTACCATCCCACTTACGTCCGCCAAATTTAAGTAAATGTACAGTTCAAATTATCGAAGCTTCCATGCATTCATATCCCATACTTCAATAGATAAATGGGTCGGGTGAAATATTCTCTAAATATTCATATCCCACACATCTTGATGTTTTCTCATTTATTTTTGTTGTTGGTGGAGTGTTAATCATTATTAAGGAATTTTCTCACAAGTAAAAAAATCTTTTTCATTAAAATTCAAAATGTTACACGTGTCGCTCATCAAGCACTGTATTAAAAGAAATTGAAGATAATGTGTAATGACGTGAATCCAACCTAAACTCCTAGAAATTAACTAACAAAATATTCAGATAAATACTAAAAATTAAAAGTAAATTACAAATATGAAATACTGCATATTGGCGGTGCCAATAGAGGGTCAGGGTTCCATCGCACACCCTAAAATTGTTGTAAAAGTTGCACATACACACTTGTTGTAAAAGTTAAAATTGTTGTAAACGTTATACACAATGTTTGGGTATGGGGTTGAGTACGGATCCCAGGTTTAGTATTCAGATCGAGTTCGGGGTCCGAGTCAGGTCTAGGTTTGAGTTTGGGGTCGGGTCCGGGTCTAGGTCCGTGGTCAGATTGGGGTCCGGGTCTAAGGTCTAGTGTTCGGGACCACAGTCGAGTCTATAGTTGGATCCAAGTGTCAGTATGTAGTTCGGGTCGGGTCTAGCTTGGGTCTGAGATCAAGGTTGGATCCAGGGTAGGAGTAGGGTCCAAGTTCAAGATCGGGTCTAGGTATGGGGTTGGTATGGGCCTGGGGTCAAGTATGAGGTTGGGGTCAAGTTTCTACTATATAAAAGGTCAGGTTTAGGTTTGAATCTGAGTTTGAGTCTGGGTTCGAAGTCAGGCCAGGGTCAATGTCAAGTTCGGAGTTGAAGGTTGGGGGCCAAGTCAAGGTTTGGGGTCCAAGTTCGAGGTCCAGTCTGAGTCCAAGGTCGGGTAAGTTCGAGTCTAGGTCCGAGTCCGGGTCTAGTGTATGTATTTTAATGTATTAGTATGTGTGTGTGTTTATCTTGGTGTGTTATTCAAATAATCTTTAGCCAAAATTCTAGAAGTAATCTTTAGCCTTTGGATCAGTAGTAAAAAAATTTTAAAATAATCTAAACCGCAAAAAACAAATTTTTTTTTTTTATATTTTTGGAATTTCAAATGACTTATACCTTATTCTATTGATTTTTGTACACATTATTGTAATATTTTTATTATGCTCAAATTGTTAATTTCTTATTTTAATTATTTATCTAACAAATATGCATTGTATTTGGCATTTGACTGCATGTTTAGTACCTTCTTTTTACTATTGATGAATGTATTTTAGTTGGATTCAATGGTAATGATATGCTTAATGTTTTACCTTAATATTAATGTTTGGAAGCGACTTTGTCAAATAAATTGTTGATTGAAACCAGGGGCAGCCAAGGTAAATCAAGTTAATATTTTTTTTTTTTTTAGATACAAAAATATTGATCAAGTTTTTATATTTAAGTTTTGACAATAAATTTTTCTCAATAGATAATATAGTTACTTCATTCAATCTTAATTGATCGTAAATCAGATATTATCAATTAAGTTTTGAACAAGCAATTTAATGGGGCTATAGAGTAATTTTAGATCAATAAAATTAGTTATTAGGCCCTAAAAATTTCGATAATATCTTAAATACAAAACAAAAAGGGTAAATTTTTTGGACCCTCTAAAAGTTGGGTTTAATGAGTAATTTTAAACCCAACAAAATTAAATATTAATTTGAATTCTTAAAATTTGGATCATATCTAAAATACAAATATATATATATATATATTCTACTAAAGGGGTAAATTCTTGAGCCCTCCAAAATTTGGGCTTAACTTAGTCGAGAGTTGTTTTGGATGTAATGAAATTAGATATTAATTTGAACTCTAAAAATTTGGGCCCCAAAAATTTAAATCATATTTGAAATACCAAATAAAAAAAATAAACCTATTACTAAAAAAAAGTTGAGGGCCCTAAGCAAGCAACTTAGTTGCCTATGCCTAGGGCTGAGACTAATTGAAACTTACCAATGAAGTTATAAGGTAACACATTACAAATATAAGAACTTTGTGGGATCCGTTATAAATGACAGTAATGTGTCCCGCTTCGCTTTGTTTTGTGAATGATTGTAATTAGTCTCGTCTTAATTATATTTTATTTGGATCCATAGTACATTGGTTTTTGGCCACTTTCCATTTCTGCCTGCACTTAACAAAGATCAAACTCACCATGCACTTGATTATATACATACAAAAACAAAGTTGCAAACTACATTGGATATTCTTAGATTTCTGTTAAATTTCATCAAATTCTACCACTGATTCTTGAGTGGCAAACCATTTAGTTACATAAATCAGGTCTTAGAATGAACTTTGTCAACATTATTAACAACAAGAGAGAGACATTCATGAACCAAAATCATCTTCCTCATGATCCATCAATTTCCAACTTCCATCAGCCTGTTGAATCATACCCTTGTTTTTCTCACACCACCATGAAACTGGCACGCCATATGTGTCGTCCAAAGAATCGACACGTTTATTAACAAGCGCGATGTCACGATGAGTTTCTAATTTGAATCTCCCTTTAGCACCCTGAGTTCCTGCAACTCCATGCAAATAAGCCTCCAAGTTATGCCAAGTCATCAAATTTCCGGGACTCTTGAGGTATTTTGACTTGGTGGTGTCAATGGTCAACTCCTCGCCGACATCTGAGTATCCGGCCGGAGGGTATCTCGGGACGACATCTCCAGAGTTACGAACACGTAGGAGTCGAAGATCTTTTAGACCAGTGAAGATGTGCTTGAAATTCGAGTCCCCGACACGAGGGCTGGCGAATGCAAAGGCTGTGACAGGACATGCCTTTTGGGGTTGGTCTTTAGGATTGTTGATTTTGTTCACAACTATGTCAATTGCATTTAGGGTTGCAATGGCTGCACCTAAGCTGTGGCCGGCAATGGTTATGCTGATATCTTCGTTTTGGTATTCTTCCACCAATCTCCTAACCTCACCAAGAACCTAAATTACAAGAATAAAGGAATAATAATTTACCTTAGTTTTTGTCTACATTTCAATTAATTTGTGCATGAAAATAGTTGTTTTAATGCAAACTAAGAAAAGTGATAGTAAAGTGGGCAGTGCGAGATCAATACCTATAGGGCATGTTTGGTTGATGGATTTAGGCGGGTTTTGAAAAGGGGGTTTAGGTAAAATGGTTCGATAAATCTCTTAATTCTATGTTTGGTTAGGACTTTTAAACTTAGGATTCATATCTCGCCCGTAAGTGGCTTGGAGTATTAAACTCATATATATGGGGTGAGGCAAATCTAAGGAGGAGGGGGGGAGGAGTTTCATATATGCTAGCCTAGGTTAAATACGATCAAATAAAATATCCTATCTACCAAATCACATCCTAACCCCTCCCCATCCCTCCCCCCACACCCCACGCCCAAATTACTCTTTTATGTAATTAAACAAACATGAGTATGAATTGGATTAGTCAATGTGCAATATAGTCATTTACAATAAAATGTATGGTGATAATTGTGATAAATTCGTGGGCCGCACATTTATTTATATTGCTTACCAAACATAGAATTGGATTGGGTTCATGATTGAATTCCATGTAAAAATCTCTTGAATTAGGTTTGAAGGGGTTTCCTAAAACCAATTCAATCCCCACCCCATGTGGATCATCCAAACATGCCCATAGTTTGTAGTGCAAAGTGAGAAACATGATAATGAAGGAGAAAATGTGATGTAGCAGCATAATTGATGGGTCAAAGCATAATTTAACCCCTTTTTCTTATTTTGAAAAGTCAGTACCAACCACTCACCTGATCTCTGGCACTGGTCTTATTTAACTGCGAATTCGGATCGTCAGAAGTATAGATGGAGTACCAACCTAGGTGCACCCTAGGATGACTGCCTTGTCCGAACATTTTTGGGGCCGAGACTTGTACAAATTCAAGATCATCCACCCATTCCAATGTCCTAATAGTTCCTCTCCAAGCAATCACAATATCTCTCCTCCCCAATGCAGCCTTGCCTTCATCAGTTGCCACAGCAACATACCCCATCCAGTTCGATTCCTTGATCCATGCATCGGTTGATAGAGGTTTCATGATAAATGCATCAGGGACTTGGATGGATGAAGTTGCATACAAATACTTGGTCACACGATACTTGAATGGATTGCCATTCTCGAGAGCCACCTTGACAATACACGTACCAAATACAAAATTAGTGGATTAGTGTCGAATAACAGGGCAGAGCCCAAAATTTTGTTAATGGTTGACACTTTAAATGCACATTCTAATTTTTTTTACTTATAACCAATCACACTATATAACATATTTATATTTATTATATCATATTTGATATATAAAGTCCATTTAAAACAAAAAAATACCAAAAAATAATGTATATCGTATATGTATAAAAAAATAACTAATTATCACTATTATAAAAAGTGGAGCTAATTGCTATTTTTGTACTTAAAAATATCAGTTATTCACTAATAATTCATTAAATCTATTTAATAAACAATGTTCCAAATACTATAACTGAGATATTAGCATAGTAAAACTATTAAATAAAAATTTAAGAGCTAAATATAGTAAAAGAATTGAAAATCGACTAACAAAGAATAAAAACTATAATCAATACTTGAATAGAAATAGACACGATTTCTTGTAAAAAATAAAAAGTCAAATAAATGACAATTGCAAAAACTTTCACTTATAAAAATTCATAAACAATAAAATTAAAGTCATCTGGAGAAAAATTTAATACAATAAAAAAGACTAAACCATTGAAATAAAAAAATTCTAGGGTGGACACAAGTAAAAAATATATGTTTAATTTTTAGAATATATAAATATAAGTATACATATAATATTTTTTTTAAAAAAAATTGAGTGTAGGCCCACCTCAGTGAAGTTCCGCCCATGCAGTCTATACAAATTAGAAATGATGTAATGCACTAATATGATTATTGAACAGATTGGGTTAGTCTCAAACAAAAATAATTTAATTTTAACATACCAAGTCGTTCAACAATTGTCGTATGACAAAAATATATCGTTTCCATTATCTCAATAGAAGTTGTATTTGGTTCTATGAGGCGATTCCTCAAAAGACAAACCTCTTGACGAGGACTACCTTCTCTTTCCTTCCTTTCTGGCCAATACGGAATCAAATGGATTTTGAGTTTCTCTCAGGGGTCTATGGGTCCATGGATTGTGTGATTTTAATTCTATCTGATGCTATTAATTGAAGGAGTCGGGTTAAGGTTGATCAGAAACCAAAACGAAAAAAATAAATACACGTGAAAACTACACGACAAGACTCGATTGATATCGTTCCTTACCTTAGAGAACATATCTTTCTTCGCATATCGGCTGCTTCCTGCATATCTTGATGCCTTCTCAAAGTTGAAGTTATCATATGTTGCTTGAGCCATTTCTCCATAGTGAATGATGTATCGTCGCAGATCAATGTCTAGAGGGTCCAGTAAGTCCTTCCAGTTGTCTTCTCCACTGAGAAGCCTCCATCTTTTGTCTATGCTGTCCTTTTTGTCTGTGCTGATAATCTCCATCTTTTTCTTCTTTCTTCTGAACAAATCCATCATTTTGATTTTGTTCATAGCAAACCAAGTTTTCAAGTTGGTCTTTATCCACCCCATTATAAAGAGATTGAGAAATGTTCTTTATTTGCTATATCTTCTTGAGTTGCCTTGACTTTGGGTTAACTTTTGTCCTCCAACAATTCCATGACTAAAAAGGGAATGCCACTGCCAACCACCACTACATGATTTTGGAGAAGGTCGGTGTTGTGAACGTGCATTAAGGTGAATAATCAAATAACAAAAAAACATCAAGAAAAAAAAAATACGAGATTTTATGGTGGTGGTTTGATATACCCTGCCGTGTTTTCCCCATTGGGCGGGTGTTTGGTTTAAATATTAAGAAATAGCGGATTAGATAATGATGTCCATCCTTTACCCATCCATCTGGCTCTTGGATTAATTATAGTGATAATGTTTCCTCATCTCATGTTTAGTTCAAGTATTAAGAAGTAGTAGGCCCCATATTTATTTCATTCAATATTTTGTTTGGATAGAGTATTGAATGATGATATTAAATTAAATTACTAAAAAACCTTCAACATAAAGAGTGATATTTATATCTTATAGATATTTGGGGGTAAAAATGTCTTTTGGCCAAATATATCTCAATTGAACTATTTAAACCCACCAAAAAAATTGGGTTTATTTAAGAGGTAATATGTAATATTAAATACACTATTTATGCGGACCGGTATTATTTTTAGATGATAATATCGGGTCCAAAACGTGTATTCAAACATAGGTATAAGAGGGATAAGGTGAGCCCTGCGTTATCTTTTTCAATTCCTCTTTGCTAATACCTAAAGCAAATACACCTACGTGTTTAGTGAATATGAGTCACCCACTATTTTTTGTATTCGAAATGCAGAGAGAGTAATGCTATGACTCAAATTCATGGACCCCACATGACAGTTTATTAGTCTTATCACTACACGTAAGAAACCGATGCTCGTTTATAATTGGTTTTGTATGAATATAGGTGTTATCTTTGTTTTGTTTCTTAGATGTAATTGGTACAAAAACCTATTTTGATGCCTGCAATTCCACTCTATCCTAGCCCTGGAGACAGACAACAATCACAAAAATCTTATCTTTAAGGCTTTACCAAATCTTCCAAACCTACAAAGTCTTTGCTTTCAAGTTACCAACAGAAAGTTATGGAGTAAAGAAGATGCATGGCAAGTTGCAAGTTTCACAAGACAAGTATTAATTGCAGTTACAATTTGTGAAACAGTGAGGATCTTGATGTAGATGTGTTGTTCAAAAACTGCAATAATGTTATTTTCTTCTGACCTTGGATTCAACAGTGGTGACTGCATTGTCCTACTATTAGGTGATTCTTGCTTATTGTTTTAGCAACGAATGAGAAAACTGAATTCATACGCTAACATTACGAATAAACACTACATGGTATCAAAAATTATCATATTTTGATACTTAATTCCTTACATCATCACTACCTCAACTCTTGGATTGCCTCCTCAACTAGTTGAATTGGATTTCCGTTGCCCCAAAAGTAAACGTTTATCATATTTTGGATAGAAAACGTCTATACTTGTAATGTTTAAAATTAGGACAATATGTTGCCTGAGAAATATGATAGTGGAGAGGGTAATATTAAACTAATAACCATAGTTTGAGGTTTAACGTGAGAAATGTAATTATTGATGGGACCATATCAGATAAAGGGCGTAGTTGAGAATGTGAAAATACAATTTTCCCTTATAATGGTCATGAAATAGCCTTTTAAAGTAGATGGAAAGGAGGAGTGACTACATGGACATGGTTCCATGGTTAAAATTGGTGACATCAATAGCATTCAAAGTGTATATTTCAACTTGACACCGAGGTCAGAATAAACTGAAAGTTACGATTCAATCAAAGTCAAGTCGTGACAAATCAGATCAAAATTATGACTCAATGAGATTCAAAAGACTAAAATATTGAGATCAATCCTAATCAACTTGAATCAGTGGCAAACTGAGTTGTTCAGTATGATATAGAAAAATAGTTCCATGGAATTTTCCTACAAGTTATGAGTAGGAAGAAGGAAAAAGGTTGGGGATAGTGGTTCTTGGAAAAGAGGACTCGATGAGGTGGGGTGGCATAAAAGCCCAAGAATTTAATGGCCCAATGGAGTTGGGCTTTCTTCAATAGCAGAGAGATTCTGCATGCGTTTCTCTTTTGTGTGTGTGTGTGTATATACATATTTGAAGAACATACATAATAAAATACATATAAATTTTGAACCCATGGCTGCCTAACTTTTAATCAAAAACCATCATAAATTTAGCAACTTATGTCAACTAATTCTTGACATGAACCCGAAGATGATACATATCCGAACCCGCACAATAAACTTATTTAGTTAGTATCATATATATGAATAAAATTTGACACAAAAAAAATTGTTTAACTAATACTATATAAAGATAGTATGAGATTTTTTTTTCTTCTCATTTCAAGGTTTGGTACTGTATAAATCATTGGAGAATTACAGGATCGATTACTTGGTTTTGTGATCACAGTAATGAGTGATTTTCTAGTTCATCGATGGCGGATTTGATTGAGAGAAAATTAGATTATAACCTTCAGCTTCTAGTTTATAAGTTGTGCGCATGATGCAACAATTAATGAGATTATGAAACGAATCTGATTAAAGGCTAAGAATCGGATTCAGTTTACTAAATAGTCAATTTAAAATTGACTAGAATTTGACATGAATCCAAAATAAAATTTTCCAAACGAAATACGAGATGACCCGATTAACAAATTGTGAAAATAATCACTTTTTAAGAGGGAAGATAAACAAAGTAGTTGTTGAAGATAGGTGCATTCGAGCCACCGGCATGTGTGCTTAGTTGGTATTAGATGAGGCCACCACCCAAATGATAGATGGAATATTTTAAACAATTGACATAGCTTATAGCTAGGCCTCTTGTAGAACATTGGTGTAATTTACCCTTATCGAATGATTTTATTAAATAAAATTTTACTACAAAAGTTAGGGTCTTTTAAGATAAGTTTTTTATGGCAATAGTGTTCACTGTCACACAAAAAAAATACATTTTTTGGAAAGAAAAAAAAAGTTTTTTTTGACGATAATACTTCCATAAAAAGTTGGCAAATACTATTTGAGACGAGTTATTATCACCACAAATACTTTGTGAAACTCTGCTTATTACAACAAAATGTTGTAACAATATGTCTCTCTATAATAAGATAATAAGTGGAGTTTCAAAATGTCTTTATGGCAGCATTGATCTTCGCAAATACTATTTGTGACAACAAATAAATCTTTTATAAAAATATTATCGTCACCCAAAAAAAAATTCAAAACATGTTTTTTTATAATGGTAGACGCTGTCGTCATAAAAAACTTGTCTTAAACTACCCTGATTCTTATAATATAATAGTGTTTATTTGTGCAGTGCTGTTTGGCCTCTAAGCCCGTGAAAACGTTATACAAAAACGCGGTTAGGTATTTGTTGCATGCATGCCAACACGATGTCCTCTACTAGTGACAAGTCCCATCAGGTTCATGGCCAACCTCTAACCCAAACAAAAAGTTCACGAGAGCTATCATTAATGTGACTTGGCCATGGCCCCAATCTAGAGAGACAAGTCCTCATGAAATCCTAAACTACCCCACCTCAACCCATCAACCACCTACGATACTTATTACTACATAGATGACAAGCCTTTAGGTACATGCCAACCCAGGGTTCATTGACACCCCCCGTTCCCCCAAAATGAATATATTTTTGAAGGAAAACACAATTTTTTTTCTAAATTTTATATGTCGCCCATTGCAGGTAAAAACGCACGTTCAAACTACCTACACGCCGTCACATGGTGGACCATGCCGACTGTCAACAGGTTGTACTAGTTTAACAGTTGATTTAATAGACATCGTTAAGGCGGATAAACGAATCAAGTTATTCAGACTCGGCTCGTTTTGTGTCCTATTTAAGCTCGATTTATTTTTTAAAAAAATTAACTTGAATAATTTTTAAGTTCGTATAAAAAACGAGTTCGACAGGCTCAGCTCGTATATGTAAATACTCAGACTCGATTTATTCAAGTTTGACTCATTTTTTTTAAACTAGTTTAAAAAATAAATTCAACAAACTCGACTCAATTATTAGTTCTAGCTATCACCACCATTGTTTGCCTTTAAGGTCGCGATTTCAAACATCATTATCCCCACCCTATAATAGTGTCTAACAAAAAAATGGTTGGCCACAATTCATTTCTTTAGCCTTCATGCCACCACAAAAACCATTCAAGCAAAACTCTCTCTCTCTCATGCACACAAGACACAATTTGATAAATGCCACCAATCCCTCTATTAAGAAAATCAGTTACAAAAGTTTAAGGGGTTCAAACTTTCCATGGCTTAAATTCATGGACAAAGTGACAGATTGTTTACTAACATTGCACAATACACACTTATAGCACTGTGAGCTGTTGTGGCTTGTGCAATGGACCACCTAATTAACATATATTTTTTCTTTTTCTTTTTCTTTTTTTTTTCTCCCTTACAAACCCCACATAATAAACTCTCTTTTATAAGCCTTACCAAATCGAGTACCAAAACTCACAGAGACCTAGCAAATAAGTTTCATTCATAGGACAAGCTCTATTAATAAATGCACCCATTAGCTTTCAATAAAGAGTTGAAATATGCCTAAATTATTTTCCTTGGCCTACACTAATTGCCCGTGGCATGATAGAGTCGGATTGGATTGAATTATTCAATCCAACCCACTCCTAAACAATCGTATAAGTTGTCTGAATTTTAATTGTTATAGTCTAATACCTTGTTTGATTTGGAATTGGATCGAATATACAGAACTTGGAATGGAATTATATAGGTTTCGTATATTCGACCAATTCCCAAATTTGTTTACCATCTCCAATTCATGATACTAAATTCCAATATACCAGTTTGGATCCACATGTCCAATTCAATCCAAGGTTTGTGTGCTTTTTTTAAATTCATGTTGCGGGG